TGTGTGTGTGTGTGTGTGTGTGTGTGTGTGTGTGTGTGTGTGTGTGTAGAAATCAACATCACATCGTCACCCTGATGTCTTTCGCCCTCTGCTGGTTAAATGTGAAATTGCAAATGATGTTGACCGCACGAATGGTTTAAATAACATCTTGGTGATGTTTGTGATATCCTGAAGAACCTTGAATAGCTCCAGGATGTCAACGGCAACATTAGGATCAGTTTGATTGCAAATGTTGTTGAATAGCCTGTAACAGTGTGTGTGGTTGGGTATTAGATCACTGATTTATTTTAGTTTTATTGATTCCTCAGACAGGCAGAATTAGATATAATTATTAAATGACTTATCCAAATCAATGCAGAGGTCCTTAAAATCCAGGTTCGACAAATATATGAATTATATCTTCCTTTCGTTAAAGATTGTGTAGCCATGGCATGTTGCTGTCCACCTATGATGAGCGGGAGACTATCGTCTGACAAGTTTTCACATGCATTCACCTGGTTAGTCTATTTGCTGTCAGGAGCACCAAGCACAAATATTTTGCACACTTACTCGAGTACATTTCTGTGTGCATTTTCCCTCTAAGCATCAACTGTGACGGGTTGCTTCTTGCTGCACAATATCCTTCTACATCTTCTGCCAACAGAGAGTGAAACAGTGACATCTTGAGGCTCTATTGGGACAAGAAGCATCCAAACATTTGCCATCAACATGACAATGTTACTGCTAAATCGACATGACTCTAAGCTAAAGTAATTTGATTACTTTGAATAAATCTGGATCTCCACTTTACTGTTTTGGGTTAAACAACATTCATGCGGATTTCAGTTAGTTTGCATCGATGACATCACCTCATTTTGAGATTTTAACTTCATTAGGACGAGCAGGTAACAGTGTCTCACCCGTAAAGGTACAAAATCTTTCGAGAATCAACTGCTTGTTAGTAACTTTTTATTGTTTTACCACAAAGTACAGATAAAAACATCCACAGCATATTCTCTCAGCTTAATGGCCCAAACCGAGGAGCGTGTGAAGAGGCAGTGACACGAGACTAAATAAAGTACATGTTCCTGCTTGCTAGTAGAAGATCTAAAGTCGGCAACTTCTACCAAGCTTGATGGCATTTCTCTTTTGTGTAGATACTGTAGTGTGTATTGCTTTTGTAACAGAGTGACACATTCATTCACAAGCAGGCCTAGTAATGAATGCAGATACAGTACAACATGGCTCTTTTGGGGGGAGGGGGGGTTTCAGGTTTTAACTGTCTTTTTTTTTTTTCTTTGTTGCAAGCCTGAGTCGATACAACACAATCCACAAATATGACTCAAAAAAACAGTATTTACAGAACTGGTTTATATAGAGAGGAAGACATATTAGAAAGGAGAACAGTTTAACAGTTTGGATTTTAACACATTTTAGTCTAAACCCTGGATTTTAGTCACAACCAGTAAGAAGTAAAATATAGCCAGGATCAAAACCAGCTCTCAGGTTTGTCATCATCACTCCTTTTCTTATAATAAGCAACACTTTAACTGGGGCCTCATCTTCTCAAACTCTAACAGTCAGTGGCTCATCTGTGATTTCAGATTTGTTTTGCCGTTTGTATACTCTCAAAATAAATACTTTCTGAATCAGATTTGCTTTGATCACACAGCCAGAGTCTCTGACTTTATGAAGTCGATGATTTGGACCTCCATAATGATTTTGTTATAGTGCTTTGCTCTCTCAACCTATCCTCTCTCTCGTCACTCGTTTCTTTACAGTTTTAGACTTTTGTCACACTGCTCATTGTGGTGTCCTACAAAAACAGTGAGCTTCTTCTACAGCAATCTGTGGTGAAGTGAAAAGAAGGAGAACACAGCAGACTAGTTCTAACTTTGGAAACTGTATTAAAACAAGTTCAGTGTTTGGTGGAGGGGGAACAATGCACGCCCAGTGATGCAATGTAGACACAGCTGTTAGTGGAAATGTGCCGTTGCAACCAAGAAAACCTCAGAACAAAATATTAAATTCCTGCATTGACTTGAAACTAATGTTAGAAACTCAGCTACCTGGTCTGTGAACATTTCAGCCTCCAGCTGTTTGATGCTTGTTAATTAAACAGTGCTGTCCGTACTTCACCTGAAGACTGAGCTAACATTACACACAGTCAAATAGACTCCAATACTGATTCTGAGGAAGTTGCTTACTGTTGGGCTGTTTGTCGCTAAGCAAGGAAACATTAAATCGCTGAGTGTTGGTGGTATGTCACACGTTATCCTAATGTCTCCTGATGCATCAAACAGACCAACATGTTTGCATCTTCCTAACCCATTCCATCATGTTTTAGAGAATGATGAAATTTATTTCATAAAGTAGCAATTGTCTGCTGTTAAGATCACATCAGTTCAACTTCTCTAGCATCACCTGCAAGATTTTCTCTGCCCGATGTCAAATACTGTAACATCAATATGCAGCATTGTTCGCAAGCACAACTGCACAACTTTGTTGCCAAAATGCCTTCCAGATACCCTTACATTGGCTGGAAATCCCACTGAGTGGATTTGGAGGACGAGAAACATATCTGTAATTTTCTAACTTGTAATTCAGACTTAATTTACTATATTTTCTAAGCGGGGAGTTTGTGACGTCTCTGGAGGGCAGCATGAGACTAAACCGACAGGGAAATAAAACGACTCATGGAGGAGCTTGCGAGGGTTCAAACAAAACAATTCCACACATCATCCAAACAAACCCAACAACATAGACCTCTTATATTTGATACCTTTCTAAATTAATTTCAGGAAATGCATATATATATATATATATATATATTGCACAACATTTATATGTACATTTGAAATAAATATAATTAAATAAAAGCTGTCTCTTAATGTTTTGCTACTTTTACGTAGCTCTATCTTGTTCATATTTTCCACACCCGGTGTTGAAAGAATAAAGGGGGTACCAGAATAAAAAAAAACATAAAAAAAAGGCCAAATGAAAAGGCTCAGATGAATAATGAAAACAAAACACTTGCTAACACCTGCAATATCCATGTTTAGATACCAGGTGAGACAACATATGAAACACAGATACATGCATGCTTGATTCTGTCCTATCCTAAACCCTAAAAGAAACGTAGCACATTAGTTTGGATCAGATTTCAGCTGGATCAGCCCTGCCACATTACCTCCTCTGTGGCCTTCTTGGTCACCGTATCCGAGGCTGACATCTTATCAAGGTATTTGACTGATAGGAAACAAAGCACTGTAAACATCGGAAGGATTCAAATGGCACTCTGAGGACGCACGCCGTCAAATCCTTCTTGTAAAACCATACTGAGGAACAAGGAGACAACAAATGATGGGTCGGGAACCTTCAGGAACCTGGTTTGCAAAGAGTCTGAAACACTCTGGTTTGATTGAACTTGGTTTGGCATCAGACCAACACCAGCACTGATCAAAATAAACACCTTTAAAGCTCTTTAATGAGGAGGAACCGGACGCAGACACGGCTCAGCACTGGTCCATCTCAGAGCATTTCAGACACTTTTCAATCTGGCTCCTGTGTCCGTCAGCCAATCATCCTTACTAGGTTACAGAAAGAAGCAGGAAAGTGAGTGAAAAGGGTGATGGGAGTATTTGACCCGAGGCCCCGGGGTCCAGCTGAAGGAGGACAAAGAGCAACAGGGAGAAAAAGGGTTTGGGGCGGGGGGGTGAGGTAGTCAGCTTTAACATGCACAGTCCTGGTGAGGAGGAGCGGGCTGCTCTGTCAGCTGGGGCCCCTGTTTGGCCCCTGTGACAGCAGGATCTCCGGCGTCCAGGCTCTCCGACATCTTTTCACAGATGATGTCGACCAGGCGCTCAAAGGTCTGCTTCACGTTGATGTTGTCCTTGGCGCTGGCCTCGAAGAACTGAAAACCTGGAGAGGAAACAGGGTGTGGTAGAGGGTCAGAGGGGTTTATAGAGGATGTGGTCGTCTTCGAGATGTAGCGCAGAGATGTTTTTAATTTATGGTTGTAAAAAAAAAAAGATTATTCTTAATGACTCTGGTGATCTCCTGACTTTTCATCTAGTAACACTAGCAGGCAAACCTTTCCGCCTGTCCATTGAGTCACTTCAGGTTTGTTTACCTGACAATGAGTCGCAGAGAAGTGTGTATTTGTGTGCGTACACCATGAACTCACCAAGGTGTTCAGACAGCTGCCGGCCTCTATCTCCGCCCACCACCCGCTCGTCCTCCATGTCGCACTTGTTCCCGACCAGCAGCACCTGGGCGTTGTCCCACGAGTACGTCTTAATCTGAGTCGACCTGGGAACAAACACACCTTCAGCAATCAGAGCAGAAACTCAGACTGTGATCACACTGCAGGCTGAATGTGTCCTGAAGTTTTCTCATCAGTGTGTGTGTGTGTGTGTGTGTGTGTATGTGTGTGTGTGTGTGTGTGTGTACAGTGAAGAACAAACATGGTGTCTTTAAACAAAGTTCTAGATCACAGAGATTGAACATAGTTACAAAATCTGATCCTGAAATTTTTTTATTTTGCTTGTATCTTGATAACCCATGTTTTTATTGTAAAGCACGTTGTAACATTGTTTTCACAAGGTGCAATATGAATAAAGGTTTTATTATTAGCATTAAGCAGTGAAAATGAAACCTAGTTTTTGACATACTGTAATAGAGTCAAAATGAAATTGAGATAAAGTTTTCCTTCAAATTAAAAGACACACACAGGCAAGGTCCTGGGAGGAGACAAAACTAAGACTTGAAACGCATCATGTCTCTGTCCATCAATCTATAGTATCTCTTTATCTACTTCCAGACTGGCTATACCACTTGATCCATCCTCAACGCAGCACTCCCTCTCACAGGTAAAGCTGCATGGTATCACTTTACACTCTTTTCATGCGACACCCCCTTCTAAGCCAATCACGTACCAGTCCTGGACAGCGCTGAAGGACTCCTCGTTAGTGATGTCGTACATGAGGATGAAGCCCATGGCTCCTCGGTAGTAGGCCGTGGTGATAGTGCGGTAACGCTCCTGCCCCGCCGTGTCCTGGGGGGAAAAAAACAGCAGCAGTTAGCTTTCATTAAATCTCACAGAATCCATTTCACAGTGACCTCTGACAGGTTTGACTAAAGCCACTTTGGCAGGTAATCCACTCAAGCTAAATTCAAGAGGTGTCTAAAGCCCTTTTAATACTATCTGGTCTTGTGTTTAAAGACACAATCCTTGATCGGTTTACGGCGTGCTAATCCTTAGCTAGAGTCGTGAACACCAATCTTGTGTCCTGCATTAAAGATGTATTATCCTAATGAAACTTTAAGTGCACAAACAACAACAAAACAAAACAAACAAAAAATAAAACATGACAATACTTGAGCCTAAAGTCTAAACATTCAAACTGTCACACTGACAGATTGTTCCCATGTGCTATCAGTACAGCCAGCATATTAAAAGGCCTCTTGTGGTTTTTAAAATCTTCATCAAGCCTCCTTTTGTCTTTGTTTTCGCTGAAGGCTTTGCTAAACAATGACCCTGCCCCACAATCCCAGGGGAGATTCAATGTCAGTGCTAAGTCCTAATGATTGCTCAGGGAATTAAAGCCTGGTGTGTTTCTGACACCCAACCGAGCAGCTTCTGGTCCAACAGCATCACTCAGCTGTCGGTGTCAGTTTAGAGATCAGCAGAGCAAAAGACTGCGACTGGCATGTACTGCAAAGTAACCGGCTACACTGGTTTACCTCGACATTTATGAGAATTCACACTTCTTACATTTTATTGTGTCATAAACCATTCATCAAATATGTGTATACTGCTTAAGAACGCTAAATAGGCGTTTGCTGTCTTTGCTATTATTATTATACACACATCATACCACTCATACAGCAAATACATACCAAGTTTCTACCCGTTATTAAACTTTCTAGGGAATTACATTTACGTTGAAGCATCTAAAGTACACACACATACAGCAACATGGACTACAAAGTGCAGTCTCTGACAAACAGATTCCATAGATGTGTGCACAAATACACACAAAAACAAAACATACTGAAAACAGATACACTTCTTAGCTTGTTATGTATTTTCCTGTACTCATTGGCATAATTACTCAGTCACACAACCATTCTCAGGTCAGATTGATTATATGACATCTATTTTCCGGAGAAGTGTATAGCTCTGACATTTCCACACTGTTGGTTGTAATGTTCTGCAGCTACAGTTCACGTCCTGCTCCTCCACTCAATGTGCTGTAGGACACTCAGCAAGGCAACGGCTTGTCAGTGTAGGCAGCACTGTGTGCTGTGACATAACGAACACATTGGAGTACTCATCTTTCCCTTCGCCGTGAGCCCTGATTCAAATATAAAGCGGTGAACATTTTAGATTTTAGCGAACAGCTTATAAAATGAAGAAGTCTCCTTTTTCATGCTTTCATTTTAATCAAAGGATTTAAAGGGAAAATCAAGAGTTTTTTAAATAAATATTTGGGCTGTAGGACATATAAATCAATAAATTACAAAGCAAGTTATTTTTAAATCTAAATATGCTCAAGAATTGACATGAATAAAAACTATCAAGCAATAATGCCAAATAATTGTTCTATTCAGCTTCTTAAATGTGAAAATGTGCTGATTTTCTCTGTTTTGTATGATTATAAATTGCATATCTTTGGGTTTTACACTGTTGGTTGGACAAAACAAGACCTTTTGAAGAAAATACTCTGAACATTTATTTGATATGATAAAATTGTTAGTTGTAGCCCAACATCTGTCTACAGTTATGAACACTGACAGTATGCATGTAGCCATAGAGCTTCCAGTGCAATGAAATAAGAAAGGGTGTCCAGTCTTCAGTAGGAGCAACAGTACGGCAATATAGTGGCATGAATGAAAATAAATAACGTTTCAAGTGAGATAATGTGGATGACAAACTATATAAGTACACATCACGTGTCTGCATTGACCATTTTCATTTTTACTCGACTGGAGTCTCAGCCGACAGAATTGCTGAGAGGTGGGGGTCGGGATTTTACATGTGTGTAGGGAAAGGGGGGGGGGGGTGGATAACTACTCGGGTGAGATGTGTAGTAGTGGGGGAAGGGAGAGCAGCACCCAGTCATCCATTTCTCGTGCTCTGATTGGGCGATGCCGTCTCCTTTACCAGAGGCAAGACCTAAAAAAGGCTGACAACAGAGACAGCTACACACACACACACACACATACACACACACACACACACACACACACACACACACACGCGCACAAACAGTGCTGTGCAATGTAAAAGTGGAAATGATGGTATAATCTACAACGTGATACTGGAACAGTGCGCTGCTCTATGGTTGTGTTTACTGCTGAGTCCTCAGGAAACAACACATTTATGATGCAACAAACACCGCCCTGTTTGTTCCTGAAGGCACATCGATGTTACCTGAGTGTTTCAGTTATTACTTCCATTGAATTCCATAGGATTCTACTCATCCACGGGTCAGCTGGATGAGCAGGTTGCAGAGAGGATGCTGTTGTTATGCAGATTTGTGTATGTTTACTGCGATCTGAGGACAGTTGGCTTAATAAAACTGCACCACAGGCCAGTGTTTCACAGAGTTATCTGCTGTATTATTAGACATCATTAAAAAACATAACTAACATTTATGTTATTGTTTCAGAGGTTCAAGGGAGTAGCCCAAGGAAAAAACCTCATCTTTCTCACAACTGTCTAGCTCACCTTCTAATCCTGCTTTTTGAAACTGCCTTCAGATGTAGAGCTGGTGCCGTTGTGCTCGAAACAAACTACTCTGAACTGGGTGAAAATCCTGCCGCCATTGACAGGGACAAAATGCCAAAACTGTTTAAATACTGTATGAGAATAACGGTGCGCACTAAAGGACAATCCTTCATGAACATCATTCATGATGTAACACTGTAAAGGTGTGAGAGAGAGAGGGGTTTGCAGACATTCAACCATCTAACATGCACTTCGGTTGAGGCTTACTGACGCCTGGGGACTTAAGAGGTCACTTTGTGTCCGTATAAGACTCTGCCTGTGCAGCCATAACAGTGCAGAAAACCTCTGACAACTTTAAACTCTGATTAAACTGATTCATCTTAGCAATACACAGAGAAAAGAAAAGACAAAAGCACTTAAAATGTGGAAGGACAAGAAAATAAGTTGAGACTATGTGGCTCAAAGGTCATATATGAAAATGAAGCTAGTCTTGGGTCACTGTTGACCAACTGCAGGTGACGGTTTAATGGTGGAAAGTGAAGAAAGTCAACAAGCTTGTGACAGTGAAGAAAATCAATATAGGACTTACTAATTCAGCTTCAGCCTCAAATTCATGTACATGTTAATTATAGATCTCAGTTTCATTTACTCCCCTTCCAGGAAACTCAACACATCTCCAGACGTCTTACCCAGATCTGTAATTTGATCCTCTTGTCATTCCTGTAGATAGTCTTCACCTTGAAGTCAATGCCCACCGTACTGACAAAGGCCGGTGTGTAGGAGTCGTCGGCGTAGCGGAACAAGAAGGAGGTTTTGCCTACACTGCTGTTGCCAATGATGAGGATCTTGAACATATAGTCAAAGTTTTGGTCCGAAGACTCCTTCTGCCCGTAGGTCGCTGTTGCTGAGGCCATCTGTGGACAGAGAGGAAGGAGAAACACAAAGCTTTAATCAAATGGCCGCCGCTACATGTGTCATAGCAATTGGTGCAAGTGCCGCACAGGACCTCACAATGCAGGTTTTTTTTTCTTTAACCCAGCATACGTTGAAGCTAATTTTCCTGTCTGTGCAGTAAATATATAACTCACATGAACAAGTCATCTGTAGGATTATTCCTTCCTGGGCGGAGGGTCCCAGGTATAACGGACTATTTTAACATTGAGGAGGCTGTGATGAATTACACAGGTAATCCATCTCGTTTATTTCAATTGCACAATATTGAGGATTTGTCATAGTTCTAAAAGGCTTTTTTCTTTGGCGTAAGCTGAAAGTAATGAAATGTGACGATTGTAAATACTTCTATGTGATGCCGTTGAAAAGTTTGCATTGCAGCTAAAATGGTGCATCATGTCGTTTAAGCTAAGGATGATGATGTTTTAGACCTCATCAGCAAGTCAAAGAGGAGCACACATGCTGATACATGATTATGATGTTTGTAATGTCCTTGTGAAACACTTATATATAAATACCTTTCTACAAAGTTGCGAAGCACAATTTATCTTAACTACTAATTTAACTAAACAGAAAGGGTACAGTATGTATGTTGTACTTTGTGCATGCAAGTGATGATCAGGACCTCCCATGACAAGTTTGCACCCAGTACTTTAAAAATAGATGAGTGACCTATTCTGAATGAACAAATTCAAATGTTGTGTTTGATCCATTCCTAAAACACTCTTTCAAGAGAGATAATACAAGTTTCGGAGTAAAGTATGTAGTAGTATGTGATGGCACCATCAGACTAAATCTATGCTATGGCTTGTAGGGAGGTGTTAATGAAAATTCCAGCATGCAGTACGAATGTTTAGATAGGAAGGCGAGTTAGCTGACCTGATGAAGCTTAAAGGAAAACTTAGTCAACAAGTTTGATCATTGATTAGTTGTTCCAATGATTCTTTAAGCAAAGAAATGTCAAAATGTTTGATAGTTTCAGCAGATGTGCTGCTTCTCTGTGCCATTAATGATAGTCAACTAAATATATTTGGGTTTTGAACTGTTGGTAAAACAACATATTTGAATAAACAAATCAATGAATCTTTTAATTGAGAAAATAATTGGCAAGATGATGCAGGACTAATGCTGATTTGGATGCAGATGCGTTAGTTGTTATTGATTGCATAGTTTAGTAGTCGGCCCTATCTGAATAAATGACCGTCTCCTTTAAAGTCATTAGCAAAGACACACTTTAAAATGAAACCCAAGAAACCCTTAAAAAAGCAGCAGAGGTGATTTGTCACACAGAAAAGCTCACAGTGTTCAGACAAAAGACGAGGTTCTGTCAGCATCTGCTAGACTCAGTGTAACTGTGATTAACTAGTCAGGCTTAAACATTTTCTTCATGGTAATTAATCAAAGCAGCATATTGCGATGTCAGGGGAAAACAGAAGGCCCATCTGACTTTTCTTAATTTTGCAGAAAGGTTGGAGGCGATTGGCTCGATCCGTCACAATCAGCTGGAGATGTGGAAGGAATAATTAATTGCACAAGCAGCTGCAAGATGAAGTCAGTTTGGAGTCTGATATTCACCAGCTGGACTTCAACAGCTCTGTGTCTATAGCATCCATTACTGTGATAATAAGAGGACTATTTTAGGGTCAGGTCTGACAAACGTTGATGGCTCCTTCATGGCAGGAGTCGAATACAGCTGAAGTTACAGACTTGAGAAGGAATATAGCCTGATATCTACACCAATGATGTTAATATACAACCTGTGAGTCTTTTATTTTTTTAAAACCTTTATTTAACCAGGCTAGTCATAAGAACAAGACTTTATTTACCATGGCGGCCTGACGAAGCTTCTTGAGGGAAGGGGGATTGGGGCTAAATGAAGTCAATCCAAAAGTTATAACAACAGCGAAACACATCCAAACATTTTCAACACAACCATTACTGGCATACAGTCACAACAAGCATTACATGTGTCAACAAGCATTACATGTGTCAACAAGCATTACATGAAGACATACCGACTAGCACACAAGCATCGGGCAGTAGCAGACAACAGGATCAGGCAACACAACCCCATCAAGAGAAGCATACTACAAGCAGTAAGACAAACATGACAAAACCACAGCAGCAAGAGAACAAAACATGCATAGGATAACAGCAGAAGAAGGAACATTAGCAGGTTGGGAGGCAGGTTGAGGGGGAGATGCAATATCGTTCAGATATTGGGATAGCAGCTCACATTTTCAGACAGTCTCTCCTTGGAGACATACACAGTGTTGAACACGGTTGTTCACATAAAGAAGTGACAGAAGTAGTCGTGTCAAGAACGAAGAAATAGAGCGAGAAGTTCAATCCCTCCCTGGCTCCTCTCTCACCTCCACACAGCAAACCGATGAGCGCGAAGCGGGTGTGAATGTCAGAAAAGTTACAGTAATGGTCGGACAAAGTCGACCGAGGCTATTTGACCATGTGACAAGAAGCATACTGGCAGCTTGATTCCAAATTCAGCAGAAAAACCATCAGCTACATGACTGAGACTTGCAACATTTGCTGGGATGCAACCACGCTATAGCTACCGGTGGGCTGCAAGAGCGCTGAAAGCATTCAGGAAGCCTTGTCGACTCTTGAGAGCACAATGACTCGAGCCCACAGGCCTCAATGTCGTGGCACCCTGCTCTATATTTAGACTGTTATCTCCACTCGGCTGCAGTGGAACACGAGAACTCACAGGGAATAAAGCACACACAAAACAACTGCAGCCTCCTCAGAGATCCGGCCGATCGGTTTACATGAAGGAACACAGAGATCCTTGTTAAATAATGAAGAAGCACCGACCCTTCCTCAACACACCTTATTTTTTAGTAAAGCCATTACCAAACCTGCTACATGCAACACAACTCTAAGTGGGGTTCAAACAGGAACCTGAAGTCAAAAAGAATAAAGAAACCATAAATCACACAAAGTATGTTTCAATCATTTCTGGTCTAATTTGTGCAAATAATTGAGAACATCTAAAAAAACGCAGCAGCAGCGAAGGTGTTGATTTCTATCTGGTTGATGACAAGTTCAGCTTCGATTGTGACGTCAATAATTCCTCACAAATAACTCTGCTGCCAGGAGCATAGATTTGAGTAAGAGTTTCAATCCAGAATACCAAAGATGAAAACTGGGAAATAAGAGAACTCATCTGACAAAATGAGCCTGAAATAAACGTTAATCAATGAAGTCAAATAACATTAGGACTTGAAACACTCTGCTTAATTAAAAAAAAAAAATCTATTCACTGCATTTCTGAATATATTTGCTCATTTGAAACCTACTCAGTCTTAGGAAAGTTTGAACTAAAAGTGCAAGTTGCCAGACGTGTTAGTGCTTGAATTTAATCAATAAATAATTTATCGGTGAAAGAAACACATGCGTTTAGCTTCTGTGTTTTCTGCAAATAAAACAATACAGTATATATTTTTTCAAATAACCCATAGACTGCCAAGCTACTGGAGGAGAGAGACTGTGAGAAGAAATGCTTTATTCTAAAGTTGCATATTTGTACGTCAGTGTCATTCGAAAAAAACCCTCCACGATGCATACTACATATAATTAAGTCCAAAAGTGCTTGAAATGATGAGCAGTGTGTCTCAGTACAACACAATCAGAAAGAATTGGGACAGTTTGATGACCATGTTCAGCACAATGCATTCATATTGTTAGACAGCCTTTGTTTATATTTATCTAAATGTGTCTCCATCTCAGAAATATACAGCAAGCCACAGTTCTTACAGCGGTATCTGTAAACAACTTCAAATTAGCTGTGACTCAGAGTTTCAACTCCGCTGAACTTGATTGTCCTCCAATCAAGTCGACGGAAAATGAGAGTCTCCGTGCGCTGCAGTGAAGCGAACTGCAGTGTGACTCACCGAGGGCGAGAGCATAATCCACAGCAGCTACAGGAAAATGTGAACAAACACAAAGGCTGAAGGAGACGTACGGTTTGCACTGGATCAACTGACCCACATGGATAGACTGCCATCACGCAAGTCATTGATCCCACAGTGCTCAAAGGACGACACACGGACAGACTAATGTCACATGGGGTGCTAAGTGTGGGGGCCAGTGGCTCCTTCCTCACTTCCTACCCCCAGCGCCCTTGCTCGGACCACACCCATCTTCAAACTCTGCCTTCATTTTGATCTCAACTACACACCTGTAGAGTTGCATGACTGCATCTAGCACGGGTTGCGTTGTATCCACAGACATATAAAAACCCGGCAAGGTACTCGAAACCTTGTGGTAGTCTATACCGCTACCGTTGGTGTTTCCAGGACCATGAAGACACACACACACACACACACACACATTTGTGTTTCCATCCCCTACCTTTACACTAGTATCGGGAGTTGAGGGCATCTAGATAAACAGTTGGTCGTGCTAATTCACTAGGCAGGTGCCATTGAACCATTGCAAAAGTGCCAGTCAAATCTCAAAAAAACAAAAACAATGTTAAAAAATTAGATGGAAATGTGGTATTTTTGTTTCTTTCATGTGTTAATTTGCAGTCTCCTCATCGCTGAACTCAGGTGTTTTCATCTGCTGCAATTTTCCGTCTCTTCAGCTGAAGCCTCAGCGACACATAAGTCATATTTGTATGTCATGATTTATTCACTAAAAGTCTGTTTCCATTGCACACCTTTTGACCATCTGGTCAAAATGCGACCTAGAAAGATTTTACAAAAATAAAACAATACAGAACGTTAACACTCGACTAAAATACATAAGAGGTCCATTTGTCACTGTGAACCAAAAACAAGTTACATCTTAAAATGTGACAAAGACGTTTTCTCTGGCTCTGACTAAAACAAACATACTGGAAGTGAGATCACACTTGATCACAGTCGGGCTTTGGTGTTCGATTTCCTCTTTGGCCGGCCTTATTAAAAATGTATCCGCTCATGTTACGGTTGCACCAAGGTGTCCACTCAGCTCAGTAGATATTAGATATTTCAGCCCATGTGCTTTCCATTGACATGTTTTTTTAGCTGAGTCAGCGATGTTGCAGTTTTAGCACATTAGGCAAAAAGTCAACTTTGAAATAGACGTCCAAGCCAAGGTCTGATCAGGCAGTTTAGAATAAACACTTCTTCTAAACTTTTAGCTTCTCTTTGCTTGCTGTGCTCATAAAGCTCTCAGCCGGTCCTTCAACCCGTTCTCTTCTCTTTTCTCGACAAAACATATTTCTCTCTGAAAATCGTTCACCTCTTCAGGAATACTTGCTGCATCTGTGGAGGTGCAACAGCGTGATCTGACCCTTTGCTTCTTTCCTAATGTTCTCTTAAAATGTTGGGCGTCTAAAGCGTGGATTTATTGAGCTTGTTATGGACCAAAGCACTGGTTTAAATACCTAAAAATGAAACGTAAGCATGTGACATGTTATTCGCTGTGATTAGAGGAGGTTTGAAATGAATCGCCACAGCTGGAAGTCTGAATCTTGTCAAACACGATCAAAGACCTTTGTTGGCTGTCGAGTCGCTGCTGTATGTGACGGTGTGGGGAGATTACCGCAGCCTCTCCTCTGCGTCTTAGAGATTAACTGTGAAGAAGAGAGCTGTCTTAACCTTCATGAAACATTATTTTGATACAGAGGCTTACAGGCTGCAGGCCTCTGTGTTTAATCTCAAAGTAATTAACAAATTCTCATTATGCAAATGTGTTTCAGCCTGCAGGACGTTGCTGCTGCTGCTTTCATTTGGCCTCGATAGTGAACTGCCTTTGAACAAAGCGACAAGTCAGGAGGGCTGAACTGTGAGAGCTGCAGTAACACATGGGTTTGTTATGAATTATGACTTAAAGAAATTGTAAGATGTATAGTGGACTTTACATTACACTTAAGGGCCTTGGAGCTCTGTTTCAAGGGCTGCATTATTGCATTATCGATTCAAAAAGTGAAAAATGCACACCAGCAATTCTTACAGCCAAAGGCGACGTTCTCCAAAAGACAATGAAATTCTGTTTACTAAGATATTAAACGAACTGGGCCACAGATTTTTTTTCTGGCAAATTGAAAAAAGTGGAAGACACCATCACATCTACACATTTCAAAATGAGATTATCTCAGCCACATTAAACGGTCTCATTAAAATTAAAAGCCTCTCCCGCAGTTTGACGAGCAGAGACAGGATGCGGAGATGTGGCTGAATGCGAGGAGGGATGGGAATTGAGAGGTCAAACTAAACTGCAAAATGGACACTGGCACTAGATGCTGAGGATAACTCAGCTCCTCTATCATGGAGGAGGAGGGACATGACAATAAAGACGGCCAAATCACACTGAAATCCACATCTCTGATGTTTCTGCTGTCACTTTTAGTTTCCCGTGACGAGATGTGGTCACTACAGTGGGTTTTTATTTGGGCTTTTGAGCTCAACTTGAGTCACTGGGAAACATTTTGATATCACAGAAGAGGATTTTTTTGGGGCAAGAGGCCCTGGAGAGGTTGTCAGACAATCAGAGGGCCGACACAGAGAGACAGACAAGCACTCACGCTCACAATACAGAGTCAACAAAGAACCTAACCTGCATAGAGTGAGCCTGAGAAAGAGGTACGAGGCCTCTTGCTGTGACGCGACAGTGCTACCCACTGCACCGCCTGTTTTTAAATAATATAAAGCATTAAAGATTTTCACTTTTACATATAACAAGAAATACACTAGAAAACATGCAGCTACAGGTTTTCTGCTCTGCTCAACAGCACACTGTCAGTAGTTACATCATAACCAAGTGTTAAGTGTTTTTCTTGAATCCTAATTCACTCAATCATGACTAAGGGTTTCTGTGCTGTACGATGACATCATCAAGCTCTCTTCTAAACCTGTCACCTAAAGAAGATCGACGTCCTCCAGGAGCCGGATTGATCCACAGCTAAATGCTGCTGCGGCCAGCTAGTCAGGCTCATTTAATCAGCAGTGGCTGGCCTCCTGCAGATTGACAGCTGATCCTCAGCTGATCCTCAGATCATCCAAACACCTTCCTGCCTAAAGGAAGTTGCTGAGGAACCTGCAGAGTCGACTGACGGAGGAGTCTTCACCTCCACGAGGTAACAAAAACACTCAGGGAGATTAAATAACATATTTCACTTTCAACACATTTTTCTGAGGTCGGGATAATCCCATTTATTTACATTAAAGTTTAAATTATATACTACTTTTCACACTAATTCCATTTTATACTAGTGGTAAAAAGTACTTAAAGTTAGCTCCACTTTGACCAGCAACAACATTAAAGTACCACTTACATATGAATACATCCTATAAAAGTAATTCAATTTATAGTGTTATCTACTACTTTTACTTTGGTTCTTTTACTGAAATACATAATCCAAATATTTCTTCCACCACTGCAAATAGGGCGCAATCTCCAAAACTCTAACTGTGAACAGGCTGTGATGGTAGAAGAGGTTTTCACGGATCTAAAATGTTCTACCAAACATGGAACTTCACACCCAGAATCACAACCAGGACCAGAATAGGAAGCTAGATCTGAACCAGCAGGACTGTGAGCAGTCAAATATTTATCTGCCACTAGATTAAATCAAGCAAACTCAAAATATCTGTGAAAATATGAGAGAATGCTGCAGTAAAACTCTTGCCATCCCAAACCACACACTGCTTTACTGCCTGCTGTGTTCTTCTCTTTCTAAATAAAAGTCTGATGCTATATTATTTATCACCAGGCAGCCGCGTGTGTGAAATAAAAACTAACAATGTACTAAAACAGAGAAGATGCAGTGGTTTTTAAATACAGCTGCTGTCCTGCCCCCAGGTTGCTGAAGACAGCATTTCCCCCTATTCCTCCAATCACGTGACCCCTTTTCTAGGAGGAGTGGTGATGCAGATGAGAGGGGGGGAAGCTAAAAATAGCATTTCTTCTCCCTCTTTCTTTTTTTTCCCCTCTCCAGAGCAAACAGAAAGCAGAGAGGAGGGAGCAACGAGGATGTGGGAGATGTGTTTTGGTGCTGGAGTCTGCAGGTGAACCAGTTTATACTTCATAAATATGAACCTTTTATTGGACACGTCTTCCTTGTTTTTACGCTTTTAATTTTCAAAAAAGGATGTTGATCAAACATGTAAAACCTGTTGTGGAAGGTGAAACTTTTTTCTTTCTGTGCTTTGTCTAAGTTAAGGCTTGTTTTGTTCATCCCAGTGGTAATGACATTTATTAGTATTATATAGTTTTAGTTATAATAAGAGCTTTTCAAGGTCCAGCTACAATTATTAATACAATGTTGGCCTAAAAACTGCTGATACCTAATATCTGCCCACTATTTCAGTGTGTTTACGTTCTAATACCGACAAGAATTCAATGAGATATTTTGCTTTTGAAGCTTAGATTATCATCTGATCTGACTGTGAAATTGTCCACTGAAACCAATTAGTTCAGTGGTAACCGTTCTTCAAGGTAAGAAACATCTTAATTTAACAACTCTGAAGATTTAGTCTGTTTTTCTGCAGCAGTGGTCAGACGAGATTCATAAGACTCTCACCGCCGGTAACTTTACTGACAGAAGAGGAAGTGCAGATGTGAACTGCAGACTGTCGGCTCACATTCAGACTATTTCAAACACGTGAAACTTTGGGATCCTTGGAGGTTAAATGAAAACTGACGGAAGAGTTTTTATCTTATTTTAGTGGATGAAGGCCAATATGTACATCTTCTATCTGTCTCTGTCCTTAACAGACACACACACACACACACACACACACACTTTCATCTATAGACTCAAAAACAAATGTTTCTGTACATGCTGTCAATATCCGTTCATGCAGCCTAAGGAACTGGGAGCCTTTACATGTTGTATATTTTCCTCCTGTATATGTGCAGTAGGCATACAACTATGTAGGCACATCCAATGCTGTTAAGATGTTTAGTTTGAATATGGGAGGCAAATTATAGCCGGATTCTGCGTTTTCATTCCTTCCGTAATGAAATGAGCTGTTGCAGTGTGAGGAGCACACACATACACATCATATTAAGGCACTAGCCGAGATCTGATTGGTTTAGGACTAAATGTTTCAACCTACCACAGACACAACAGTCCTCCGTAAGGCTCAACGTTTCATTTATAAAACTCAAATAATATTACGTAACCCTCATATTCGGGCTAATAGTGAGTATATGGTTATCTCATGATAATAATCGCTTAAATATTATTAGAAAATTACAGATAATTGCAGGACATAAATTATATATGATGACTCTCTCCTTGTTTGCGCTATAAATAAAATGGAGGTGATTGAATACAACTATATTGTTCCTCCACATTAAGACATTTTCCGGATTTAAACCATCGGACGGTGTGAAACGCCTTTTCCTGCAGGACAGGCCCCTGGGCACACCAGAGATCCACTAATAGCACCCTTCAGATCCATGCCAACAGATTAAGCGAATAAATATGCATTACATGCATCTACGATGGGTTTATGGTTTTCACAATGAAAACAGCTGCTCTAAAGCGAGCATCGTATATGTCAAAGGTTCTTTAATCTGAAATAATTTCACAGATATTCGAACATAAGCGCTCATGAACAATACATGAAGGATACTTTAGATTTAAATATTACATGTTTGTCAATGCAATACATTAATAGAGACAGAAATCTCACCTTTATAGATTTATATCCGGCTGCTATCCACCTCGTCCTGGACCCGCAGAAACACCAGCACTGTCAAGTCAGAAAGTCTGTGCAACACAACATCCGGCTACAGATTCCAGAATAAAGGCCGTAAAAAACAAACTGCCTATTTAATTGCTCAAAATAAATGCGACAAATATGATGAAAAGTAGATGCTCTAAAAAATACAACAAAAGGAAAATCCCAATACATCTTTTCAAATGTATTATTTCAATTGGCAGTTTTACTTTATAGGTGTAACGTTAACGTTAGCGGATGTGTTTTGCTAACTAGTAACGGTGAAAGTAGCTTCTCACTACAAAGGTTAGCCTCAAGCAGAGATGCTGACAATTATCTCTAACTCCACACCACCAGGTGTTTACTTTGTATTCTTCAGACCACACAGACTCGGACTCAGGTGTCCTCCCTAGTGTAATGAGCTTGTGTTCTCTACCTGAACACGAGAAATCCAACTATAAAACTCGAGATTACTTTGAAAGAAACAATTATTTCCGGTCTTTCTGTAACTCCGCAATCTTTTCTCAGCCAGAAACAACGGTAAAAGGAATGACAGATGGGCGGGACCACGGTTAAGATTGACAGCCTGTCTGACGAATCCAGAGCCTCGGCGTAGCAACTGTCCTGAAACATTCAAATATGGTCCACCTGTCATTTATTATTGATGAGCGCTGCTGGAGAGACTGAATTATTGATTAGGAGGTCATCAGTAACCACTGCTGCCGTGTCCACCTATTATCAGACAATGATGGTCATTGTAACAAATACCACTGCAGAAACATAATATGATAAGGAATACCATACTCTTATGCTTTAAAATAACTCACAACGTCCTACAAACTATATATAAAGATGAATACGACCACTATAAAGTTCATCTGTAAAGCAACATGACAAATATAATAAATACACATTAGTCTCAGTCTTAAGCACATTTATTAAGAATAGGATAATTATAATAATTATTGTTTTTTGTGATGTTAGTCTGCTAAAGATTCCTCTGAGACAGAGTTAACATCAATTTGTTTGCTATGATCAATCATAATACATTGGGGAGAAAGCATAATGAATTAGAAGACCTGCAATAAGATACAAACAATTGTAATGTAAACAATAATTACACATCTCAAAGATATAAATTGTGATAGCTTTTATCCATATTTCTCAGCAATGTGTTGTCCGCCGAAACAAAACAAGAAGTTGATTGGCTTATTCTGAAGAAGTATTATACTTCTATCAAAAAAAAAATGGAATTTGTTTTTGGTCATGAAAATTTCAAAAATGTCATAAGTTTGGTCTAGTACTACTGTAGTAGCCAAAGAGTGTATATATATGGCAGATATACATATATATATATATATATATATATATGGTAAAAATAGCAATAGCGAACCGTGAACATCTGACAGAATATTGTATCTTGTGTTGTAAAGAGAAAACATTGGTCATAGTGAGTGAACCAGTGATCTGTATACGTTATGGCGTTCTGTTGTGATGAATTGGTCCTCCAAACCAGCAGGCGGCGCTCTAACATGAGAAGTGTCCAGTTCTACGGGTACAACATGAACAGCTCGCGTGTCAGGGGGTTGCACTAGTGTTTCTCACGTGGATGTATGAAGAGAGCTCCGCGGTTCGGGTTTAGGTGAGGATGTGCTGACGTGTTTGCACATTTAAGTGGCTGTGGTCAGGTTAACGTTAATGGGGAAATTCGTAAGAAGGGAGATAGACGTCGACGCAACACCGACTCTCAAGTGTTAGCCGGTTTCATTTGGCGTTCAACGAGGAGCAGAGAGATCATTGTGACATTGGATTTAGCAAATTTAGGGTCAATGTCAGCGCTGGTGTTGTACTAAATATGAAACAGTCAGGTAAACGGTTGTGTACGACTACATAGTTATGGCAGCCGAGTGTTTAATCCGGGGTTGAATGAGCTGCTAGCTAGCAGTTAAAATAGCTTCAGTGACTTTTGAACCTCTCAACTGTCTCCAAAGTTTCCGTCTGTGTAATCTGCAGATAATATTATAAGCGTAAATATAAATACTCTCATCCCGTGTAATACAGAGAACTTGATTAACCCGATAAACAGTCCATGCAACAAAGTATATGTACTAAAAGACAGGGTCGTTGAACACAGGAGACCTAAAACAACCAGTATAAAGACATGTTTCATTCATTAGCGTTAGTTCATCTGTAACGTTATTGATCAAGTCTATGTGGGACTCAGAGATGGTGAGATTTACTTCATACAGAAACATTTGTTGTGATGATATAATATGACTGTGAGGTGTTTGTCTTATTTATGTTGTGATGTCGAGTTAAAGCTTCATGAAGCATTTCAGCCAATTGGTTCGCAAAATGGTTAATTTCTCGAGGCTTCGTGTGCAACACAAAACTGCCTGGTGGCCGAAGAGTGAAACAAGGCAGATCTATTACAGATTTTCTCAACCATGTAATGTGTTATATAGGCTGCTGTATATCTGTGCTACAACCATGGACATGTTAACGAAAGTAAAACCTAATTCATTTGGCCACCTCCGCTATGTTAATACAAGCACACGGATCAGCCAAAAGATTTGTTTTGGTAAACTTTTCTGCCGGCTGAGACAACGTGGACAGCATCACAGCATGACAGCATCACAGCATGACAGGAATCTGCAACAAACCACTAGATGCCACTATAACGTACACACTGTCTCTGGGCAGAGGCCAGTAACTGGGATATTGATGTTGGGCGAGCCTTTATTTGATATCATTCATGAATTATAATTCCTACACGCGTTTCTTAAAAGCGATACAAGCCTCACTGAAAACACGCTCGATTACTTAATTACTCGACGCGCTCTTAAATCTCGGTGCAGCATCCTGATAGGAGTTTGGCCATCATTGTCCTCTTTCTCCCACAGATGACAGTAACGTGAATTTCTCCGCCGTCATGCTTCCTCGGATGGGTAAACAGTTTCTCGTCCGGATGCAGTTCAACTGGCGGCCGCTGTTCCAGGGCCGAACCCTGCTGCTCACAAACACCCTGAGCGGAGGAGTACTGTTGGCACTGGGAGACATCGTGCAGCAGAGCCGGGAGAACTTAAAAAAGCCGGGCAGAGTACGAGACTGGAGGAGAACAGGTGAGATACAGAGAAAAGAGGAGCTCTCTCAGCCAGTATACTCAAATCTCCATCTATTAATAAAGACTCAAATGTCGTATTTTGGAGAACATCTGTGCAATGTGTTATATTTTGAATGACCAACTCATGGCCATTAATGCTCTCATTTTCTCTTGACTCTCTCCCCCTGAAAGGTTGCATGTTTACGGTGGGCTGCTCCTTAGGTCCTGTGCTGCAATACTGGTACATCTGGCTGGATGGAGTGTTCGTGGGCAAAGCTCTGAAAACGGTGTGCAAGAAGGTTCTGGTGGACCAGGTGGTCGCCTCACCGTTTTTGGGGATGTGGTATTTTTTAGGTGAGAAGGATTTCATAGTTTGTTGGCACAAAGCAGTCCGTCTCCTTCTTCCCTTAGTGAACGTACACACATGAAAGAGTGTACAGTCAAAGGTTGTTCTTAAAGACATGGAGGAGGTATGGCAAAAGACGCTTTTACTGTCTGTATGGATTAAGCAAGACACTCCCTGCCCATTGTTCTTCATGTTTGGGATTGGCTAAATGCGCTTATGTACGTGCGTGAGAGTTTACTTATAGATTTGGATGATGTAAGACAAAAGACAATATCAGGTGGATGGAGTTTAAAGGTCTTCTGTGATAAGCAGTTTGGATTTCAACCATGAATGTTTTATAAGAGTTCCTTCAGGCTCTGACGTTATCTGAAGTTGGATTTTATGAAGCGTGGTGCTGACGCACATCTGGGCCCTGTTTCAGAAAGCAGGTTTAACAAACTCTGAGCCTACCCCCGAGCTCTGACTTGACTAACCCTGAGATGGGAAGTTTTCGGTTCCAAAACAGCCGGTCAGTTTGTGTTTAATTAACTCTGTGTTTGTTCACTCTAAGTTAAGCTTGTGCCCTGTGAATGAAAAAGGCCAACATTAATGGAGCTCCGATTCCACGACTTTCCGTGGCGACAGGTAAACGACAGTATCTGACCAGGATTAACATTACAGAGGGAGGAGACAGAGAGAAACTCAGGGTTTGTTAAAGAGAACCTACTAGCGAGACAGACCCAGAGTTAAAGTCTCCCGTCTTTCTGACACTCCCAGAGTTTCCTTCATCTCAGTGTTGACTAACTCAGTCTTCACTAAACCTGCTTTCTGAAACAGGGCCCTGACAGACAACTCTGTTTATTGCAGGTATGGGTCTCATGGAGGGACACACGTTATCCGAAGGATGGAACGATTTTACGAGCAAGTTCTGGGAATTTTACAAGGCAAGTACACCTTGGGTCAGGCTCTCACCTGCCGATCAATGATAATTTACTCACAATGGGCAAATTGGGATCGTCAATATTTTCTTACCGAACTTGTTTGTACTCGGCAAACAAATTTAGAACTGCTTCAGCCTACGCACAAGTCACGAACGCCCGGCAACATGACACGTTGAAATAGCTGCTGTGAAAAGGTCCTATTTGACCACAATTTAGCACATTGACCATAGACGGTCCAGTCTCATACGAGGTTTCTTATTCTTGTTCTTTGTGTTACTACTGACTCATTGAAATGTCATCAGTATTGTTGACATGTAGCAATCATTTGTGATCACCACATGCTAACTTTATTAATGGCTTATGAGACTTCTTTTTCTCAATGTTTAATATTTTCTTTGAGGAAGCTCACTGACGGTTTCCTCTGTATGGTTTGTGAAAGCAGATATCTTGGTTGCCAGCTGAAAGACACGTTTTTACCGTGTTTACTTTGTGTATCTAGTTTTGTTAATGCTCATCTGTGTTCTTGCCTGCAGGCGGACTGTTGTGTTTGGCCTCCCGCTCAGATGATCAACTTTTACTTCCTCTCGCCCAAATTCCGTGTTGTGTACATGAACTTTATCACCGTAGGGTGGGATGTCTACCTTTCCTACCTCAAACACAGAGTAAGTCGGCCACATGGGAGATTCAATGGAAATTCTGCTGAATTCTGGCTAGTTCTCACAATTCTTGATGAAGAGAATGTTTTCTTTTACTTATAAAATGACCATTTTAGATCTTTAGTTTTTATGTTTTGCCTTAATGAAGACAAAATGTAAAAGTTGGCACTAATAAAGAACCGTTAGTAAAGAACAAACGCACAGTATATATCAAAACTCATCTCCACCATTTCTCTGCTCGTGTTCATTGTGTCTGTCAGAGTTTTCTACTTGCTCAGTAATTTAAAGTGAAGTGATATTGATAACATTGATGTGTGTATTGGTTTTTGTGTGACAGGATGACAGCCAACCCACTGAGCAGCTTTCAGACAGCAGTGCTGTGGATGTTCAGCAGGAAGCGCTCCCATCGACCAAACCTCTGGAGGAGGAAGCTTAGACACCGAGTTCATGCTCAAGTGGGAAGTCGTTCATCGGAGGCAAAAGAACATTTTGCTGTTTTTATAGTGCGTCTGTATATTTATATCTGAAACGTGCACTCCTAGAGGAACATTCAGGGATGAAAAGTTGTTTCACTGCCTCTCATGCTTATATCTCTTGCATCACTGTAACTGCTGCCTTTAACACAACCTTCCCCAAAGCATTTAAATGTAAGTTAGTTAGTGCACGTTTTTATTGTGAAACTACACGATTTAAACTGTCCAATATCCACAGAGTGGCATTCCTGTTATTTTGTTGCTGTTTCTGGTATAAAATGAAAAAAATCAGAATTGATGTGAAACAGCTATGTTTTTATCTCTAATATTAAGTTGTATAAACGTTGCCTTAATGTGTAGATCCGTTCTGTTTTGATGCCAAATAAGATTGTCTTCAGTTTATCCCTTTGAGGTATTTATGAAAGAAATGCATGATTGATTACGTGCTTAAAGAAAATCTATTACGGTATAATTATTTAATATCGCATGTTTTATTTTTTATATCAGACTGAATCATCAGCTCCTTGATTGAAGACAGACTGAAGAAATTACTTATTTTTAAACGGCAAAAGTTTTATACTTTTGTTTTAAATGTGACATAATATACCACCTTCTGTATGTCTCCAGCTGCTATTTTATTTAACATCTAAATATAAAAAATGCTGTCTAAAAACCGAAGCCTTCCAAAAAGTGTTTTTCTTCTTTTACATATGGAGGTTCAGTTCTTCTCACTTCTTGCTGTCAGTGTCTCGTTTATTCTGATTCATAAATTTATATTTAAGTTAATAACTTTTATTGCTCTTTGATATTCTTTACATTAATAAACAGGAAAAATCTGAACAAGGACATTCATTGTAACTAAGGATTTGTGTGTTATTGCGTAGTTCCCCGAAGTATTTCTGTCAATCCGATGTTGCAAAAAAACATTTAGTATCGTATTAAATAATGATTTCACAATATTCTACAGCGGTGACCGTACACAAAGTATAAACTTATTCAGTTGTCTCCCTGGATAGTTTTCACATTTCACACGAGAATTAAAAGAAAAGAAACATATTACATGACCATTTTACAGCTTTTCTGTTTTAACATAGAGGGTCTTATGTCTTTTGGATACTATATACAAAATTAAAATAACGTAAATGGACCCGTGTGTCTGTATATTTATATCTGAAACGTGCACTCCTGGAAGATGCAGGGATGAAAAGATGTTTCAATCATTGACATATGAGATTGAGTAATATATATTATATACACACAAACACAGTCTTATCTATATGACAACATGAAATACAGCAAGTGCTGAATGCAAATGTTATGATATAATGATTTGCCACAGCAGTAGTTTGCCCTTGTAAACATGTCAGGATCATAGTAGTTGATTTGAATGTAGCCTACATTCAAGAAAAAAACACAAGTAATGTCAGGGTGAAATGTCATTAAATAACTATTTGTTAATACAAAAGGACAGCTACATTTTTAGAGAATGGTTTGAGATTATTTAATCCAATAAACAAGCTATCAAAACCTACACGGACCATACAGCCCTGGTATTACACGTATCAGTCGAGTTTAGCATCAGATTTTCAACATCCAGCATTCACACCACTATTTCTTCAGAAGTTGCCCACTCTGTTAATAGATTAGAGCGTCAACAGTAGGTATATGCCACTATAAATACATAGCAAATACAGATCGTTGTTCAAACATTGATTTACCAACCGGAAGGAGTTGATATGCCCCAACCCAGCGTTCAAAGCACTCCTCAGGAAGCCGACACATCCTGCAGTCAAGGATGTAAACTGTGTGTGTAGGTGTGTGTGTGAGTGTTGTTAATATGACCGCCGGCCTTTCTCTTTATTTCTCAACATGCCTGCAGCTATGCACCTCACTGTGCTGGTGACCCTGTTTGCAGTGGCTGTTTCTACAGGTAAGTCGACAGCTCACATTCTACCTGTTATTAAATTGATGTTTGAGATTTTGAATAGTTAAAATTATCTTGAAATCGTATAAAGATGCAAAGTAATGCAATCAGGAAACGTCCTGGGGCGAGAAGCAGGTTGTATTATTTTTGTAAATATTTTTGTATATATATGATTATTGTACTAACATTGTACTTAGCATAGCTTACTAATTAGTTGTGCTACTAGATATACAGAAATACATTTAAAGAGTAACTAAATCCACAAACCACTTATTTTTCTGCTCAAAATCAATATGGGTGTTTAGTAGTGTTGTTGATGGATTCAGGTCCAAATTTGACATTATTAGAGAATTTGAAATCTACATATTGTGTAACAACTTTGCATAGTGACTTCCCCCTCCTGGCTATAACCTGGCTATTGCAATTGAATTTTGCTATTTGCTGCAAGCATATGCCTCATGGTTGGAGGCTCAGTGGTGCATGAAGCAAAAACGCTTGACTTCAACATATATAATTCAAATGAAAATATCAGGATCTTCAGGCAATCTTTAGCATTACGGGGCCCATGAGCAAACGCTTGTGTTTTCCTTAAGCCCACCTATTAGCCCTCAGTCCAGCCTCGTTCTATGTCTCATTCATATTAACAGAGGAAGGAAAATAATTATTGCCTATTGTGCATTTTACAACTTTTAGGACCTAATGATTTAAATAAGAGGGCAGCACGTGTGGAGTTTGCCTGTTCTCTCCATGTTCGCGTGGGTTTTCTCCGGCTTCTCTGGCTTCCTCCCACAGTCCGACAACATGCAGCTTAGGTTAATTGAGGTTTCTAAATTGCCTGTAGGTGTGAAGGTGAGCGTGAAGGTTTGTCATAGTCTGGCGACCTGTCCTGAGTGTCTTGACATTTTTTGTAGAGCAAACATAGTCTTGACTTCAAGGGTGTGTGAACACAATGCCATCGATATGTAGTTCAATAATGGTGTACGTTTACAGTGTGGGCCCTTGAGTCATACTGTCATCACTGTCGGTATTACGCCTGTTCCTGTGGTTGGAACTACATCAACCATCCTGGTGACTTTGAAATGTCTGTTTTCCTGTTAGCCACCAATACTGGCAGCTCTAAAAAAGAATGTAAAAATTGGTCCAGGTATAACAAATTGAGACACAAAATAGCACATGTGTACACTCCCTTGTTTTTGCACTTGTACACCGTTGTATAAATGGAATCAATCCACAAATTTCACTTCATGATCTCAAGTAGAATGGTTGCAGGTGGGTCAATAAATTGTGTGGGAGGGTACAGTGCACGTGGGAGGAAAACTTGGGCGAGTCCAAGTGCAGTACTGTGTTTATGCATGCTGTGTCATCCAATGAAACTAATCCAGAGTGCAGGTAGTTCCCTCCTGTGCATAGGGCACATACTTTTCAACTACACCTCTGCTTGAAGTTGAAAATATCAGTTTGTTTATCAACCATGAAAAAGCCAACAGACTAGCCTATCGCGATCAGGTGCAAATGCTGTGCATCCTCACAGACATTTTATGCTGTTTGTTCCTTTGCAGGCACCACTCATATTATAGCCAAACAGGTAACAGAGATAACCACAAGTGCTGCACGCCACACCAGTTTGGCTGCAAAGAAAGACAATGTGTCATCATCCCCACCGCCCTCGACTTCACCACAAACACCCAACAGGACAGAGGAAACACATTTCAGTGTCACTTCTCCTCAGATTACAATGACCAACCAGTCATCCAACGAGACAGTTTCCCATGAATCGCCACTCCCATCAGCATCAGAATCACCAAACATCACTGCAACCACCACTGTGAATATAACCAGCCCAGGTCAGACTACAATTAGAGCTGAATGTTTGATGGTTTATTATGAATCAGAGAACAATGATTACACCTCTAAATCTACACCTCTACAAATGATCAAACATAAAAAACCTGCAACTTTTTCACTCATTCAGACATGGTCCCTTTGCTGAGGAAGAAATCAGTTCACAAGCTCGGTGGAGTTCTATTCAGCGGTATAATAACAGGCTGCAAAATTACTTAATTTACTTTAAAGCTGCATTGATACATTTTTGGCCACTAGGGGACAGAAGATCTTCAGTAAATTAAATGATAGTGATTACAAATCAGTAAAATAAAAAAAATTAAAAAATGGTAGTTGTACCCAAGGTAATGTAAAAATGAATGAGTGCAGTAACAAGAAAAGTAACAGAGATTACAGCAAGTGCTGTACACCATACCAGTTGGGCTGCAAAGAAAAATGCTGTCATTCAGTGTGACAACCACCACCAAGAACAGTCGTATACTGTCAAACTAGTTAAGCTACATTTTCACTCATTTCCACTCATGCAAAGAAGAAACAAGTAGTCAAAGATACAAATGAAGTCCCTATAGGAAGAAAGCAACAGTAAAATTAAAAACAGTAAAATACATGACAGTTAGCCCAAAACCCAATAAACATCCACTAAGAATGTTGTAATGGCAACACATTAGCATCACACAGCTAGTAGTGGCTGGTTTGGTTAGCAGTAGACTGATTGCAGGACACTTAATTCGTCATTCACTACAGCTGTAAAAAAAAAAGAGGATATGGGCTTCAGAAATGCTCCAACAGGGGTATTAGGGAATAAAATAAAAGATACTTATGAAGAAGATTAAATATTTGTCTGATCACAGATCTGACAAAAGGTAAATGTAATTTTTTAATGATTTATTTTTGTGAACTTAACTGTTGACTAATACATTTTTCATTTTGAGGGCTTTCTGCTGGCAAATTGAGAGTTGAGTCCTTTTCAACAATCTCTCTTCTGACTGAGGCAGACAAGTTTATCCAGTGTGTTGAGTAGTTAATACAGTACGTTTGTGGCTTGTTTCACCTTCAGGTCTTCCAGAGGAGTGGGACTTGACCACAGATCCTGGCCTCGTGGCGATCATTGGCATCTTCAGTTTCGCCCTTGTCATTCTGCTGTTGTATACCATCGTGAAATGTAGATCATTGGAGAACAACTTTGAGAGGCTTGAAGACGTGCCGATGGTGAGTTAGAAGCAAAGGAACCTGATGTTTCAACTGATTTTACTTGTAAAACTGCTTTTAATTACTTAAATGTAATCATAACACATTTGGATGAGATTAAAAGAAGCTATTTATTTGTTTTTTTGTCATGCTAGCAGCGTATCGGTATGGTTGGTTGGTTGGTCCGGACTGAAATATTTCAACACCTATTGAATTCAATTTTGTAGTGTAATTCATAGTTTCCAGAGGATTCATTGTCATGTCTTTGATAGTGCCTTAACCTTTCATCTATAGTCACCATTGGACGATTAGAAAAACTTAAATCTGTCCAATTCTGTGATTAATGGCCAAATACCTCAAAACACACGTGTGTGTGTTAAATGCAAACGGTGCTTACTTGAGTCCTGAGCAATACGTGACATAGTTGCATCCCCCAGCAATGCTAGAATACACGTGTCATTTGGTTGCAAAAGCTGACACGAACATCGAGCAATCTATACCCAGCATGCCTTTGGCGGTGTAACAATTGATAGGGGTCCCCTCTCCATGCACTACACAATGTGTACATAACGCACTACTAATAAATATGTCCCGTAGATCTCAAGAGCTTGTACTCCACGCTGCACTTCATTTGGTCTTCAGCAATACACCTGCTAAGTGAAGTCGATCGGATGAACGGTTGTTGAGAATCTCGAAGGACACACACATACACACAAAGACAGGC